CCCACCTCTCTGATGTCACCTCCCCATGACTCCATCTATAGTCATGTGTCATGTGACTCTGTGTCTTCTCTATTCCAGCAACGCTCGGGACTCCGAGGACGCCATGAGCGATCAGGCTGATGGAACACACATGTGGGATCCTCCTGGTTCTGATGAGGATGACGACTGCCAGACACCTTTTACAGGTGGGGAGAGGTCTGAGCGAGGAGGAGAGGTAGGAGCAGTGTGGAGGAGAGAGAAGGGGGATCATAAGTACAATGGGAAGGAGTGTTTTGGGGGCAGATGGGTGAGGAGCGTAAAATGTGGGGAGAAGATGAAGGGGCAGTATGGAGGCTGAAGAGCGAGGAGAGACAGGAAGAGTGTGGAGGTAGAAGGGTGAGCTGAAAGGGCAGGGAGAGGTTGGGGAAGGGCAGGGAGAGGTCGGAGAAGGGCAGGGAGAGGTGGGAGGTCGGGGAAGAGCAGGGAGGGGTCGGAGAATGGCAGCGAGAGGTCGGAGAATGGCAGGGAGAGGTTGGAGAAGGGCAGGGGGAGTTTGGAGAAGGGCAGGGGGAGGTTGGATAAGGGCAGGGAGAGTTGGGAGGTCAGGGAAGAGCAGGGAGAGGTCGGAGAAGGGCAGGGAGAGGTGGGAGGTCGGGGAAGAGCAGGGAGAGGTCGGAGAAGGGCAGGGAGAGGTCGGAGAAGAGCAGGGAGAGGTCGGAGAAGGTCAGGGAGAGGTCGGAGAAGGGCAGGGAGAAGGGGAGGTCGGGGAAGAGCAGGGGGAGGTCGGAGAAGGGCAGGGAGAGGTCGGAGAAGGGCAGGGAGTAGGGGAGGTCGGGGAAGAGCAGGGAGAGGTCGGAGAAGAGCAGGGAGAGGCCGGAGAAGGGCAGGGGGAGGGAGGAGCAAGGGAGAGGTCGGAGAAGGGCAGGGAGTAAGGGAGGTCGGGGAAGAGCAGGGAGAGGTCGGAGAAGGGTAGGGAGAGGTCGGAGAAGGGTAGGGAGAGGTCGGAGAAGAGCAGGGAGAGGTCGGAGAAGGTCAGGGAGAGGTCGGAGAAGGGCAGGGAGAAGGGGAGGTCGGGGAGGAGCAGGGGGAGGTGGGAGAAGGGCAGGGAGAGGTCGGAGAAGGGCAGGGAGTAGGGGAGGTCGGGGAAGAGCAGGGAGAGGTCGGAGAAGAGCAGGGAGAGGTCGGAGAAGGGCAGGGAGTAGGGGAGGTCGGGGAAGAGCAGGGAGAGGTCGGAGAAGGGTAGGGAGAGGTCGGAGAAGGGTAGGGAGAGGTCGGAGAAGAGCAGGGAGAGGTCGGAGAAGGTCAGGGAGGGGTCGGGGAAGGGCAGGGGGAAGAAGAAGGGTAGGGTTAGGTCGTGGAAGGTCAGGGATAGGTCGGGGAAGGGTAGGGTTAGGTCGTGGAAGGGCAGGGATAGGTCGGGGAATGCTAATGTCCTAACCCCTGTCAGGTTTGTCCGGAGACAGAAGCTTCTAGACCAGTGTCCCCATTGGATGGTTTTCCCTGGAAGGGGGAGCCACCTTCTCCTTCCACCATTTCTCAGCAGTCACACAGACACATCTCTCCGGCCTCAGGCTTCTGGTTCTCATATTTGTTGGGCTCCCACCCGATCTTCTCTTCACCAGGTAGATGTTCGGACCTTATCTGATGCCAGCTTTGGGCTTCGTGGCTTTCAGAGGCATATTCCAGTTCTGCATTTGTTGCATTGTCCCCCCCACCCTCCAGATGGACACCTTTTGGATGACCCAAAAATGAGACTTCCTGGGTCCCTCAGAGGACGAGAATGAAAAGAAGATTTTTTTGTACTAGCCGTGAATTCCTTTTCTTTGGGTCTGTTGAGGGACTCGGATCCTCCCGCCTGAGATTATGATCATACCCTTGGCACGCTGGGTGTAGGAGAGGTTGCCCTGGGCTGTGTGTGCCAGTATCCGGTCCTCCTCTAGGTGGCAGTCTCTGAATTCCCTCCATGGACTCCAGGAGAAGGATTTTCCGGGGGAAGTACATCTTCCGATATTCTTTGTGTGTGGATGTATCTAGATGAGGAACCTCAAACCTCCGGCTGTGGGGTGGAACTACAAATCCCATGAGGCATTACAAGATTCTCACAGCCACAGACGTGACTCCCGGAGAGAGATGCTTCCTGGGATTTGTAGTTTCACCCCAGATGGAGGGCCGGAGGTTTGACGCTCTTGTTGTAGAATTCTCTTCTACGTTGTGTTATAGATCTGTGTCATGTGACCCCC